AGACAGGCCAGGAGTATGTCGAAAAAAAAGACAAAGCAATGGAAATAAATAACGGAGGTGGAGACCAAAGTAAACCAGAACGGAAAGTCTGCGGACAGAACCGAGAGAGAAAAGAAGGAAGACAGAAAATAAAAARGTCAGAACCAAATTAAGACAGTGATAGCAACATGGTTTAGAGAAATAATGTTGTTTATTCCAAAGCCAAGCACAATTAACTGTGGCACTGCCGGGCATAGCGGATACTTAGACATGCTTATTAGTCCAATGAGAGATGAGCATTTCCGAGTGCCACCAGGAGAGTAGCAGGATATTATCACAAGGATAGATAAACAGAGGACATAGTGCTGCAGGAGATAACGTGCTCATGTGTGTGTGTGCGTGAAAGGAGAACAATACACYCACAAGGATTTTTCAGCTGCTTTGATACCTAAAAACCAAGGATACAAAAACTAAAAACTTGCCACCACACTCTCTATCTTATTCTCATCTTCATCAGTAAAACACAAAGATAGCGTGCACACACAGATTAGAGGGAGAGAGAGGACTCCCGTTTTAGAAGGTAGGCAGCAAAAAGTTAAATAACTGCGTGTGTATGTGTGTGTGCGTGTGTGTGTGTGTGTGTGTGTGTGTGTGTGTGTGTGTGTATTTTGGCTCTCATGTATTACACCTGGCTGGTAGAAAGGATTTTCATTCTGAGTAACAATCAGACACACCGAGGGACCCTGCAGTGTGTCCCTGCGTGTGTAAATAACACCTGGTCATGAACACATAACTACACAAAAATGACTAATGTGAAGAGGTGTGCATTGTGCTGGTGTGTGAGAGTGGCTTTCTGTTTTCCGTGAGGTTTTATGTGCAACAATAAAATCAGTTTCTCTCAGTTTAATTTGCAATCATTTGAGGGGCTTGAGTTTTGTGTTTTAGCTTCCAAAATAAATAAATAAATAAATTAAATAAAAAACCAACAATCTGCATTGAAGCTCAAGGGCAGACTCTGTCGGGTACTTACTGGATGGAGTTCTCGATGCGTGAGATTGTGAGGAAAGCTGCTAGATTGGCAGTGTATGACGAGATGACAATGAGCGCGAACATCCACCACACCCCCATCATCATTCTTGTTGCAAGCGTAGTGTAGGGAACTTCTCCACCTATGAACGAAGAAAGGAGATAACGTTTAGGACATGCTTAGTTACAAGAAATAAATCATCTTTGTTTAACAACACACTGAATGTAAAGAAACTGTAAATTATATCCTGAAGGATTATGTACGGATTATAGAAAATATGATTTGATTTTCTGGTTGCATTTGATCTTCGCATTGAGCAATAAAGCGCTGCAAATTTAAATAAAACTGCACGTTGTTAGAAATAATACATATAGATTGATAGCTTAATTTATGTACGACTGTGTTATATWCACTCTAAAAATGAAGTGTTGAATTTACTTAATCAAATTATGTCAACTGTTTGGTTAGGTAAAAATCAACATAATTTCTGAGTGTACATAATACTATATCAGACTAAATATCTTTGAAGAAATGTGAAAAATTGAAAGCAAACATTTGTGGGGCCTCCCCATATTTCTCATGTTATCTTGAAAACATTACTTTGAAAAGTGGTTTCTTTGTCTCCCATTATAAAATAATGGCATTTTCCATTATGCAGGACGAACAGCTTTTCTACCCTCAGAAGCCATGTTTAGTYAAAGTGAAATAAATGAATAATTTAATAAAACAATCAAAGCTTTATGCATGTTACATAAAATCTTATTACTCCACATCAGGGGCCTCAAACAAAGGACTATTTCTTAATTGCATAAAATAAGAAAAGTGAATGTTTTCAGTTGACTTCTCTTTTATCGGCTGGCCTTTTTGTCAGTTCATCTTGTGCATTGTGATTTATACGTATTAAACTWTGTATTCCCAACACACACACACAACCACTAGTGATTACATTGCAGTCTTTGAGCTTCCCTTTGCTATCTCTACTGAATAAAAATTAGCCTCATTCACCCTCAATGAAGAGAAACACCATTACTTTGTGTTCATTAATGAATCAGTAACATGTGACACCCATATAATTGTATGTTAACTGTTTTACTTTCTCTACTGTACTCACAATGCTTTCAAATTACTTCAAGACATTTTTTGAAAAGGTTCAAATTGATCAAAATTTGTTAAACCCACGTCTGAATGGCTTCTCTGTATGTTTTTCATGCACTACATTTGCTGTTACGTTAATGTTTTACAGCTAAGCTGGAGGTGCTATGATATACGAACACACATGACTTGTTGTATTTTGAGCTCCGTCAGTTTTTTATTCTGTGGTTTGTTTTCAGATTTGTCAAACGCGTATGGTCCTCCACATTTCTGTGTATAAACAAATTAAAACAGTTGTGCTAAAACTGAAACTGACAAAGTCAGAGTTGTTTTATAKAAAGATCCACAGTTGGTGCAGTTGATGTCTGATATCCTCCAACACACCTGTTTCCAGAAATAGACAAAGACTATTCCTCATCTTTGGTTTGCAGACTAATGAAGTAAAAAAAAAAAAGAAAAAAAAGAAAAATGTATTTCTCAGAATGTAGCTTTCGTGTTGATTTTTTTTTTTACAACAAAAGAGACTTTTGTATAAAAGTCACTTGTCCAGATGCAGATAGCCTATAAGATGCAGATAGCCTATAAGATGCAGATAGCCTATAAGATGCAGATAGCCTATAAGATGCAGATTGCCTATAATATATTATCTGCCCTAGGACAAAAAATAGTCATACAAAGTTTCTTTCTTCTTTTTTTGCCTCCTGCTTATGTACAGTATGTGAATGAAAAAAAAAGGAGACGAAGTGACATCATATGTTTATAATCTGTTTCTGCCCAAGTTTGCTTTATGCATTTTCCCCAGCCAGAAGACCTGCATCATATGTCAAATTTGTCTGACTCTAATTAGGAACAGAAATTCATCTTCCTGTGTTAGTACTAAATTGGACCAGAAATTAAACTAGGAACTACTCTGTTTCACGCCCAGTGTTAGTTAGTAGGAACAGACATCAAWCCCCCACGTGGAGCCAGGAAAACTCTGACAGATAGAGTCGATGATTAGAACAAAGTGCTTTATATCAAGTGATCATTGTGTAGCTTTGGCAAATAAATTACACTAAAGGTAGAATTGTTTCACACTGTCTTATGTTCAGACTTGTTTTTAATTTTTGGGTCAGGCAGTTTTTTCTGCTAAACCAGGGGTCCCCAAACTTTTTCCTGTAAGGGCCACATAACTTTTCCCTTCTCTGGTGGGG